TTCCTATGTTTTTCTTCTGACTGGATCTACATTTATCAATACAATGATGTGTGATTAAGAATTTCATTTTGTCTTTATATTCAAAATCAGATGCCTTGTGTAAACTTAATGTTCTTTAGAAGTTTTAAGTGAGTTTTAGCATCAGGACACCCTCATTTGAGAGTAGCTATGTGAATTGCATTCAAAAGCTGTAAATACACCCCTCAATTTCAGAAACAGGGCTGGAGATTCTATTTGGTCAAAAATTCAAACATATTTCAATAGTAAATTAATAGCTAATATTATGTAATATTTACTGTAAGTCATGAACTCTGTTCAATTTAATTCTCATAACAATTCTGTGAATTGGGCACAATTAGTATCGTCATTTTATATTTGAAGTTTAAAGGAGTTTACAATTTTGTCTACGATCTTATAGTTTGTATGAGGAAGAACTGGCTCTCGAACCCAATTCTGAGTGACATCAAAGTTCACAATCTTAATCACTGTGCTATACTGGCACCATCTGATGCCTAAGAAATTACTGGTAGGAATGAAGGGAATCATATACCTTATACTAGGAATTTTGAGAAAATCTTGAACATTTTTAAATAGATAAGGAACCAATCACAGATTAGTTAAAGCAGTAAGATCTCTTGTAAGTTAAGATGTATAAACCTATCTAAATCTCTAGTGATAAAACAACCATCTCCTTATATTTTCCTTGATGTAAACATTTTTTACTATTAATTCTATAAGCCCCTTCTGTATACACACCAGGCTCCAGGCCCTGTTCTAGGCTTGTTAGATAAAACCAAACGAAATATGGTCTATCCCTTGCACCGAAGTTATTTAAGGTCTTGTTGTTATTAGAATAGCATGGGAAGTAGCCTAGACCTCTGAGTCTCTGATAATTTTACTATAAGACAGATCAACAGAGTTATATATTTTAAACCAATAAATAGTGGTCCCAACTTCAAGTGTACAATATCCAATCATTTGAAGTAAAGTGAAATGGTTGATTCCAGAGCTGGGACAGGAATGACGCAAGATGAGCCTGGCATATTTTGTCAGGCCAGAAAGTATGAAAGGGCTAAAAAAAAAATGATGGGGGCATATCACAAGAACACAGGAGTCAGAATGAAGTGACCCCCACTGGCCAAATCAGGGACAATTTGAGCATCAAAATAGTTAAAGACAGTAATGAATCATAAACAATTATAAAAAATTAGAAATCCACGAGTCTCTCTGCTGTAATAAACAGATAAACAAATAAATGAATAACGAATAGGGGAAAGAGAAGTTCTTGTTTATGGTAGAATGCCAAGCGCTAACTGGTAAAAGTAGAAGGATTGCTGAGGCTAGAAAAATCATCATTTTGTAATCATAGTAAAGACTGGTCCACAAAAGTATCACTGATAATGCTAACTCCAAGGGGAAGGTTGACAAGTAGCAGATATTTGCATGTTATGGTCTTAAAATCTCTCCCTACTGCTTACTGGTAGCATGGGGAAGGAAAAGGAACTATACAAGGCAGAAGTCGGAAAACACCTTGACTGGGTAATCAAAATTAACATCAAATGAAGGACAAATGGATATCCTGTGCTTCTGGGTATCATTTCCTAAAAAAGCTACAACTTCATTTATTTAGTCCCAGACGAGCATCACTAGAATCTAATTCCAAGGAAACATGAGTTAAACCCCAAATGAAAACATATCCTATTTAAAAAAAGAGGTGCACGCATTGTTGAAAAATGTCAATGTTCAGTAATGACAAAGAAAGACTAAGGAATTAGTCCCGAGACTAAAGAGGACTAAAGTGATTCGACAACCAAATACAATACTCGGACTCTGTACTAGAGGGAAAAGAATTCTATAAAGGATATTATTGGATCAGTTGACACAATTGGAATATGGACAATAATGGCATAAAAGTATGATACCAATGTTAAATGTACAAAAGTTGAAAACTGAACTGTGGTTATATAGGAAAATGTCCTTATTCTTCAGAAATGTACACTGAAATAACTAGGGAGAAAAGAGCATGACGTATGTAAGTTGTTCTCAAATGATTCAATGAAAAAAATATATATATACATATTTTTTACATACTCTACACACAGCAAATGCTGAAGCAAATGGGAAAAATGGTGAATGAAACTGAGTAAAAGATATGGGGTGTACTTCGTATTACTTCTGTAACAATTTTTAATATAAATTTGAAATTAATTCCCAAATACAGAACAGAAAATATAGAAAGAAATTCTAGTATAAGTGAACACTAAGGAAGCTCATATACCCAGAAATTTCTCAGGAAAGATGTTTTTGGGGAAAGTACACTGAGTTGTTTGAACAAACAAGTGGAATGCCAACTCCAACAGGCTCAGGCGATGTTTGTGATGTGCTGGAACTCTCAACCTCATTTTTCTGCAGATTAGGGAGAGGCTCTGTGGAGCCTTCATCCTGTGACCAGCCATTTTTTATTGATTTTTAAAACCAGACTAGATCATGAATGAGCCAGCAAGAATTACCAAAGGTACTGGTAAAAAAAAATCTAAACAAATCACATATATACAAAAACTAGCCTTTGCTTCTAATATTGACAGGGAGTATATCTGTATTCGTTTTTAACATTAAACATTGTTCACATGGTGATCACTGTTTTGAGGCACATTTTCTTTCCTGATATAGCAAAAGAAATGAGAAGAATATGCAAAATATTGATATTTCATAGGTAAAATATAGACAGATCAATGAAGTTTATAATTTTGCTTTCAAATATAAATATATTTAAATTGAAAGGTAATAGAATTATCAGACATGTGACTTAAAGTAGAAACTCCACAGTGCTGTGCATTTGAATATAGATCATTAACAAATTATAATTTGAAATTATTGGAAGCATTTATAAAAATATCAGCTATGTCTAGCTATTCATTGTACAATAGTTAATATTTACGCGAATTTTACTCATTTGCTCTGTATAGCAGGATCAGAAAAACAAATCTATGCACAGTTTAACTTATAAACTCAATCTGTCTTCTTTTGGCTTCAAGATGTTATCCATTATCGTTATTCTAATAACTTCACTAACCAACATTCATGCTATTTAATTAAACTGAAATGTATCCAAGCACTTAAAAAAGAATATGCATAATAACCAGCACTACAAAACAGGAGAGTTAAGTCCAAAATATTAATCTTAAATTATATGAAGACGGAGATTATGTGCTTCATTCTTACAAAAATGATATTGCCATATCAGATTTAAATCCTTGGAAAGATGATTAAGACTCAGCTGTATATTTGCATATCACCTTTTACTTGTTAAAGCACATTTATGCCTATTATCTTTTTTGAGACTCACAATAGCCAGGGATTTTTATCATTCGATTTTTGGAAAGTAGCAAACTAGCTGAGGGTGACTGGGGTTAAGAGATTTGCACAAGGATTGGCTGAACTGACTAAGAAGGAAGTTGAAAGGACCACGTGTATCCTAACTGCTAGTCCCACGTTTGCCTCACCTACACCCCACAGAGAGTCCTCCACGAAATCAGTGCTCACACACCAGTTTTATGATTCTATAGCTGCTCTAGAGAGTGAAGTGTTGGCAGTCAAGAGCATCCTCATGCTTCAGAAATATTATGGGAGCCATAATGCATATTATATAAGTGTATACTGCTGTTATATTGATTTTTTCTCACATTAATAGTAATACTGAGCATATAATGTGAGTAAGTCTCATTAGACCCAGTGCATAAATGAGGAAACTGAAAGACACTTAAGGATAAGTGATATGAAAGGAAGCATTAGCAGATAAAATAGATGTTCCAACTGTACTCTTTCTACGCCTACATAAAATGTGCCTTTCTGATTCCTTTAAAAGCAATTTCATGACACTAGCCTTGTTGGCTCCATTTCTACCAAAAATATAAAACAAATAAAGTCAAATTTCATTGATCTGAAATGTGTGTGTCTGGGGGGGGGGTCTAGTAATTAAAAGTACCACTCTTACTTCCATGATACACTCAAAACCATATAGTACAAATATTTAAATTTTACACAAATTGATGGTCCTGTTAAAGTTCTGGCTGTGAAAACAGACTGTTTTGATGATGATTATCTCCAACTTCCGAAAGTTTACTTAATGTCTTTAGGAGGATGTGCACTGTAGCAGAAACACCAGAAACCTATAAACACGTCGGATTCCTTAATTTTACCTAGCCATGTGATCTTGTATAAGTTACTCAAATTCTTGGGTTTTTAGATCCTTCATCAGTTAAAATTTAATTCTAACTGCCAAATCCTTGATTCTGAACTGCAGGTTGAAATTAGACCCAGCAACCTCATAATTTGTATAATTTCATTCTCCCCTGATTACCTTTGCCGTTCCTGCTGGCCTATTAACATGTGAATACAGATTTAATAAAAGCCTTACACATTTAAATGAAGATATTTCTCTTATGATATTTCCATTCGAGTCTTTTGTCTGTTGATTTGTGATTATCCAGTATACTAAAGTGAAAATAACCTTGACTAGGAATCAAGAGACACAGGTTCTATTCTGGGCTCCGACAGAAAACGTTCATTTAACTTTGGTGAACTACAACGCCTTTAGGTATAAAGAATAAGCGTAAAGATATCCATCCCGCCTACCTTCTGAAAACGATGTAAAAAAATAAGTTGAATCTTGAGTTCTGAACAAGCGAGGTTACAAGAGAATACTGAACAGCACAAACAACACTGATGCATTTCTGCTTTACCTGATGGGGAGATGTGCCGCCAAGAGATGGAAGGCTCTGGTTTCCCAGTGGCCAAACAAGTGAGGGTGACATTGGTTCCTTCATTGATGGTCATATCACTTGAGATGTCATATATCTTCGGAGGAACTGAAATGGCAAAACATGCAGTGGTCAGAAAGAAATATATAAAATTCTGTTGAACTCCATGATATCATGCAATAAAGCTGTGGTGGTGAAATGTACCTATGGCCTACGGTCATCATCTAAAAGATAGATTCTCTAGATCCTCAGGACCCTCCTAGAGATTTTGTTTGTTGGTTGGTTTTATTTACTCTAATTTTTAGATATTAAATATTTCATGATAAATAAAATATTTAATAATTGTTTGAATATTGCTTAAATTAAATTTTTATTGCGAATTCTTTGTGTTAAGTAAACTAGAATATAGCCATCTGTCTGTTCCCGCCATGCATCTTCAGTATAATGATGGTTTTCCTGTTGAAATGATTAAATAAAAATGGAAACCTGGAAGAAACTTAAAATAGCAGAGCAGTTATGCCTACATGCTGATTTAATTGCTAAATGAGATAAAACATATACAGAATTGAGAGGTAAGAATTTCAGAGTCACAAAGGCATTTGGGGCCTCAACTTTCTATCTGCCAAACAGTAGGGCTGGACTTTGTCAGCATTTATGTTCTAAGGAACTGAAGTTCTAAGGGCTGTGAAAGGTGTGTTCACTATGAGTTTTCTTGTCAGTAATGGCTGGAAAACACTGGTTAAAACAGGTTTCTTCACTTCAGGATTTCTTAAAACATTTGCTATAGCCTTTTGCGCTAGAAATCTCCAAGAGTGAAAGGGAAAATATTGTATTGTGTTTTTTCCCCAATTTATTAGATTATGGAAGCTTTTAGTACAGAGCATTTGATGAAATTAGTGATCATGGAATACACTTTGGGAATGCTGGATAGGAAAATCCCTACATTAACTTCCAGGATGAAAATGTCCATAGTGTCTCAAATACTAAATGGTCTCATTTAATCCTTAAACAGCATGGGTATGAATCCTGTGTCCTCTAGGGGCTAGTTGTGTTATCCAGGGCAAGTTACTTAATCTATCATCTCAGCCTCAGTGTCTTCACCCGAAAGCTGGAGACAATAATAGCACAAACCCCATATAGCTGCTATGATGATTAAATAAGTCAATATATGTTAAAGGACTTAGAAAAGTACCTGGCATCATTGTTAGCTATTCTTATTAGATGCCTTAAAACAAATATATAGTGTTTGAATTTAATTTCAGTGCTATTCTTTTCCCATGCCTTAAAATCGCTCTCAGAACTTCATCACTTTGGTACTGTATATGACTGGCCTGTGGTGTAAGTTTTGGTTTACTATATAAAAATTATAGTATGTTGAAGTTCCAGGTCAAAGCTAAATAAACGGCAGTTAGATACTTTGATAATTACTAGAAAAATATGCTTTTTTACTGTAATTCTTTTAATTGTTCCATTCTTAGAGTTTCTTTATGCAAGAGATTTGTTTTCACAGTTATTTAAAAAAACAGTAACTAAAATCTGTCATAAGGATAAATTAAATTACCTATACTTTGAATAACATCTTTGATTTTTTAATGTAACCAAATTCTTTTACAAGAAAATCTAGGATGATTTGATTACAAATATAAAATATTCAGTTATATGTAACTGTTGCTATGACTGAGGAAAAGGCTTATTCCTAAGTGATATACCATTGTAACTGTTTCTAAATGACATACTTTAATTGGCATTTAAAACATATTATCATTAAACTCTTCAGTGAGCTCTTCTCAGGCAAATAAGAAAACAATAAGCCCTTCCAAACAGAAGACTCTTTTTTTAGCTTAACTGAAACAGAACAGAAATAAAGACATTAAAATACCCTAGGAGTAAAGTAGAGAAAAATGCGCATGACTTACTGGTGAATAGGAGAGTTAATAAAAATAAACTTACAACATTAAACAAAAATATCATTTGGGTATGTGGATGTAGGTATAGGTTTGATATAGTAAACGATGAAGTATGTATATACATATGTATGTATACACACACACACACACAAATGCATGTATACCAATGTCCACGGTTAAATAAAATTATATATTACTTTCCTCCTTTACATAGAAGATATTACACAGAGATCAGTCTAGTCTGCCTAGTTTATTCATATAGTTCAAACATACAACTGATTGAACTTTGGACAGAGGTGTGTATATCTAAGAGAAATGATGGAGTGCCATAAGACCATGCATTCCATCCTCTGCATTACATTATTTTGTCAATTCTATCTGATCTTAAAATAGTTTAGTTTCATCTTTACACATCTATGTATACTTACAGAGGTAAAATAATATTAAGCACAATATTTGACTTCACAGAGAAACAACCAAGTCCCTTAGCAATAAACTTAGATTTGACATTTAACGATGGGAAATTGTGTGGTGGGGGAAGAGTGTTGAATTCCAGGTGCGACATGTCATCTCAGTGATTGCAATTGCCTCCTGGGGCCTCATAATTCAGGACATGCTACAGGGAAGAAACATCTGGAAAGAGGATGTTAGTAAGAAAAACTCCCTCTGGCAAGGCTCTTCTCCCCAGAATGCATCACCTGTTGACGGCAGATGCTGGGTGTAGAGAGGCCAGTGAAATCCACACGTGCTGCAGCTTGTGGAGGCAAAAAACAGGTGTTGCTTTGCTGAATATTCAAAGCTATTGCACATTCGGTTTAAGACTTCAAACTTTTACTGAGTATTATGGAGGGAACAATTCAGGACTCATAGGAAATGCAAAAATTTCAAAGCATAATCCTTGCCCTCAAGGAACTTAAAAGAGAGAGGTGGATAGGTGAGCAACTAAGAGAAGACAAATATTTTCCATGTTCTCCTTTCCCATTTTACACGAGTAACACACGTCTAATAGGTGTGCCTCCTGGGTTCACATCAGCAGAGATTAATTTTGTGTTGGTTTCTTTTGAAGTGAACAATGTAGGATAGTTTATGCACAAAGTTATTCACTGTGGTGCTATTTGCAACAGGAAAAAAACTATTAATAACCTCAATGTAGCACAATGGAAATGGAATATTGTCAGCTCTGCTTCCAGAATGAGGTATGGTACTGGAGAAGGATTTAGGATGATCCCAGAAAGCATCAGGCTAAGGGAAAAAGGAAGAGAAAAGGGAGGCTTCTACTTTGGCTGGCAGGAGCAGGGGAGAATGGTAATGTCTCAGGCATCTTAAGACCATCTTGTTCTGGTAGCTGTCTCTGGGTTACAGTTTGTGTATAATGATGCACGCACACAGGTGGGAAGGACTCTATTGAGCTTCCTGAATGACACAGCACCATGTCTTATGGTATGTCCAATATTTATGCACTTGCATAGAAAACAGAAAAATGAGGAGAGTTAAAATAACTTACTATTCTAGATGTCTGTTACTTTTCTGTACACCTTATTTCAGACTCCATCAAACCCTTTTCATTTAGAAATTTAACTTAAAAATAACATGTTTAAAAAGGAGCAAATGTGTTCAATCAATTCAACAATTTTTAAGTTACTAAAAACCTACATATTTTAATAAGTATTTCGGATTCCTGTGCACATTAAGTATTTACGACCTAGAGCAGAGTAATAAAGAAATAAGTCATTCATCTAAATGTAAACTTTAATTTACAGGAAATAATTATTTTAACCTTATTATCACTGTCATCATCATCATGACACCATAAATAAAAACAATGAAAGGTAAAAGTTCTAGATTTCATACTAAATCACAGAATATCCCTCTCTTATTGGGACCATAATTGGGGATATACGAGACTTTACAACTGTGTTCCTAATTCATTGTTGTGTATCACCAATTACAGAGATTGAAGAACACTGGAAGCTTTCTGAACAACAGAGGTTGAAAGTGGATTTAAAGGCTGTGTTGGGGTAAAATGTTTTTAAAATTCTCATATACGTTTAAAGAAATCACTCTTGGACCCTGAAATTAATAATGTGCTTTGCCTTTGATTATTCATGCACCTCAAATTCAACTACTACTTAGCACCTTGTCCTCATCTCCTATTCAGTTGAAGCCATGGTGAGGGGATGATGCATATTTAGATGTATCTATAGATTTAGATTCATGAAAGGTAATTTAAATCTCTTGCTGGTTTCATCTTCACCAAAAAATGATGCAATCTGACTGGCCCCAACCACCTTCTCCCATTTGCACCATCTATCAGTGTCCTCAGGCAGGGTATGGAGCAGTATCAGTAAGGAAAATCTCAGAATACACACTCAGGCCAAATACTAATGATTTCCACCCAGCCAACCATTTGGGATTACTCCCCACCATTTGCACTATGATGTGCAATTGAGTTTGTGAGTGGCCTCATGTGCCATTTTGATTTTTTTTACTTGTACATATTTTCTGATCTATATAAATAAGTTTTTGTTTGTTTAATGAGCAGCCTCCACAGATTTAACTTAAATTTCTTCCAAGAATCCATCGTGTAGTCTAGAACATAACCATTAAAAATTTCAGAAGTCAACCTAAGAGTGACTAATCTGTACATCACAGGAATCATATTAGCACAGTGTTTTATTGTTTTAAAAGTCTGTGCAGGTGATTTTCATGAACAATAAATAGAACAGAGTTCACACCTAACCTTAGGTTGCATGAGACGTGAGGTTGGGTCACACATAATATTGAACACCTTTAGAGGATGTATTTGATGGTTTTCTTAACTGTAAATACAAGACATGGACCATTTGAATCTGGAAAGTTGCATTGGCACACTAGAATCAATGACATGCCCCATCAAGTTCTTCAGACATAAGAGTACCTGAAAGACCACAGCACATACAAATCCATTTGGAGGCATTCTTTAGGCTGCCAGGGCTAAAAGATAGATGGAATATGTATTTAATCTGGCCTACAAACATTCACAGATTATTGAAAACATTGGTTCAGTATCTATCATAACCACAATGTTCGGGGCACAAAATCCACTTGCTTCCTTAGTCAGGGTGTAAAAATCACAGCAGTGTTTTATAGGCAAGTACACTGTGTGTCTTCCCATTAATTCTCTGAAGCTATGGGCTCATTAAAAAAAACCTTTAAAGGTTT